CAGTAACCACTTTGAAAGCTGTTCCCAGTTCATAAGAGCTCCTTCTGCCATGCCATTTGTCATGTTGTATTCTTTTAAGATGAACCTGGTAAGTCTATACTGTACCCGTTGTGTCCCTCCATCCCCCCTTCCAAAATTTTAGCTCAGTTAGCTAAATTTTATAACAAACTTGGGTTTTAAGTTAGGTGATATCTTGTAAAGGTTGAAAATGTTTGTATTTTCTATTTTATGTCTAGCATTTTTATTACAAAAGTAATACAAGCTCATTATAACCAATTACAAAAATCACAAGACTATGGTAGCATGAAAAGTGAGAGTCCATCATTCTCTCTTCCATCCACTCCCCCAGTGATAACCACTGTTAATTATTTTATATAGTATTTCATTTAGAATCTCTTTAAAGCATACAAATATGTGAATAATATGAATTTTTACTAAAAATGAAATCACTCGTTTCCATTCATCAGTTGAGTGTCTACTCTGCATAAAGCAGCACTTTGCTTTCTTCATGGCCTTTCCAAGTCAATATACAAACATCTGTTTTAATCTTTTAAAAGCTTATAATAGCCCATTGTTTGGATGACCATAATTTTTTCATCCACTGTCTTATTGAATTATGATTGTTTTTTGTTTTTATTATTAACAACACTGCAATTAATATTCTACCCAATACATATATCTTTAGCTACCTAAGATAGTATTTCTAAAGGATATATTCTTACCTTTGTGAGATTTCTAGGTCATAACATGTGTGCTTTTAATATTTGTTATTGCTAAAGTGTTCTCCAAAAGAACAGAAGTAATTCACCCACCTATCAGTAATATAGAGAATGTCCATGTCTCCCATATTCTCAGTAGCACTGAATGTTATCGTTCATTTTAACCTTACCAATTTGATAAACAAAAAAGTATTTCATTTTATTTTACATGCATTTGATTATTAGTGAAGTTGAGCATATTTTTATTTATTTACTGGCCAATTGTATATTTTTTTATAAATTGCCTAAACATATCATTTGCTCATTTTTCTCTTGGGCTTTTGATATTTTCTTTGTTTGGCTACATCTATTTTAGTTCATTCTTTATCTGTACTATTGAATAGAGTAACTGCTAGACACATTTGGTTATATTGATTTAATGATTTCAAATTAGAAAAATTAATTACAATTTTTAAATGAAAATCAAAAATTACAATAACTGTATTTCAAGTGCTCTGTAGCCACATGTGGCTGTTAGCTACCATATTGGACAGAGCAGATATAGAATATTTACATTATCACGGAAACGTCTACTGGACATGCTGCTTTAGATAAAATGTAGTCTGATTTTACATTTTATTAGTTGTCAGGTACTGTCGAGTAGGTTCCGACTCATAGTGACCCTTTGTACAATGAAAGAAACACTGCCCGGTCCTGCGCCATCCTCACAATCATTGCTATGTTTGAGCCCATTGTTGGAGCCACTGTGTCAATCCATCTTGTTGAGGGTTTTCCTCTTTTTTTGCTTTTTTACTAGTAAGGATTAGTTATTTGAAAAGTTCTTTAGTTATCAGTGTTATTTTTATGGGCTAAACAATTCTAAAAAACTAAGGTTTTTTTATGTTTAATTATGCCTCCTAGAGAAATCTTCAATTTGATAAATGGTTTTTCTTTTAATAATTTTATAGCATGTATGCTATATATCTAGTACATTACTTTTTATATAAAATTTTATATCAAGAAGACATACTAAGACATACAAGGTATTATGACAAAGGGTAGTAAACATTTGGTCTTAAGCATAAAAGATCTAGACCTCTGAATTAAAAACAAACTCTGTAACAGTTTTTTTTTTAAGGCTCAATATTATTTCAAAATCTTGAGTCTTGTCTGAAAAGATTAATGCAAGTGAATCATTGAACTCATTTTAGATTTAAATTGTTTGTTCTTTATGAAATA